TGTTATTCTTTTAGTAAAAAAAAATAGTAATATAAATTTAATTATTTTTAGAGGGGATTTTTTATTGGATGTGAATTTTTGGGAGGGAGCAAAAGGAAGTGGATGTATGAAAGGAAGTGAGAGTGTGAGGAAGTTGTCAGATTGACTGGGGGAGTGTTCAATGTCTCATTGTGATGACTTCTTTTCATTGTGGATTTGTGGGTTAGTTTTTCTGATTGTAATAATAATCTAGTTTCATTTTTCTGTTTTTATTTTATTTTATTATTATCGATATGCAATTGTATAAAGGAACTTTTAATTTTTAAAAGAAGTTCTAATTATATTCAAGTAATTAATTGAATTACTTTACTTATTCTTATTTGTCATCAAAATACCACATATTCCGATTACTCCCTCGGCTTGTATTTGATGTTTCTATTCTGTAAAACATGTTTGTTTATGGATGTATATATTTGACCATAAATATCTTTAGTTATATAATATTGCGTGATAAAATTTTTTAAATTTTTGATTTATTTAGACACCTTGAGAGATGAATCAAACAAAATCCCATATCACTATGATTTTTCTTATATACTAGATTAGTGCCTGTGCGACGCACGGTGGTAATAATCTTATTCCCATAATGAATTTTGATATAATATAAAAATGAGGCAACTCATGTGGAATAAACAAATGCAATGCATATAGAAAAATAAAATAATAAGGCAAAATTCATTAAAACTACAATTGAGAAAGAAAAAAAATTTATTGTTGAGTTGAGTTGAAAATATTTAAAAGTAGTATACATTATATTACATTAATAATGCATATTATTCCCAATAAAACTATACAATCTAGTGACTATATGACTAAAGACTTATTTATAAATACCTTTTCATAAATGTCAAAACATTAATCAAACAACAAACTTAAATCTACAGTAAAACTATTGGCACAACATACATGTAAATATATAAATTACAAATTAAATAATATATCATCTTTATATCCAATAAAATGATTTCAATGGAAATAAATACTACTTAGATCATTAAAGGCAATAACAATCAATAATTAGGTAACACCAACCTATATTATTAGTAGTACATTTTCTGTTTATGGATTGATGCTCTACATGATATAGTCGCTCTTTGGTATTATATAAAAATGTGTTTGAAAGCTATCCAATAATTCTAATTTGATCATTGTTTGTTTATTGCCTTAAAATTTTATTTGTCAATGATAGCTATTTATCCAAAAAAAAAACAATAAAAAAAACACAAGAATATGTCACTTGTCACTATGTCCGACGTGTTTTTTAAAATGCAGCTTATTTATGAATGTCGATTGTGATAAAATTATTATCGCAATAAAGTGTTTCATCAAAAGATAATAACTTTTTTGTATTCACTAAGATATTAACTTTTTTTTTAATAATGTAATAACAAAGAATTGATTGATATTTTACATTTTTGAATTAGACATATACTATAGTTGTCAAACATAACATTTATTTTATGGTCATATCTAGAGGTTGGCATGGGCATGCCGGCGGCACGAGCACGCCATAGGCACGGCACGGCATGGTGGCCCAGCAGTGGGTCGTGCTATGAACAAAATTTTGAAAAATAGGCATAGGCACGGTGGGCGGCACAGTCGTTTGGCAGGCCGGCCCACGAGCACGGCACGCGACCCGCCAGGCACGGCCTGTGCATAACGGTACTTTCCGCAGCTTCCAACTGCCATAAACGACTATATTGTAACATCCATATTTACGGCTATATTCCAACAACCACTCTAACGGCTAATTTATCATTTTTCCTATAAATACCTTACTACTTCTTTCTCCATTTTTTTTTCCACAATTCATTAACTCATCTATCCTCAAATCTCTTATTCTCTAATTCTCTAATTCCTAGTCTCTTATAATCTCTACTTCTCAAAAAAAAAAAAAAAAAAAAAAATCTCATATGATCTTTAATTATCTAATTCTCTCAATCATAAAAATTAACAAAAAAAAAATTATAAGTTCGGTAAATTAATTAGCGGAAAGCAATCAAAACGTCGTTTATTTTTTTTTTATATTATTGTTATTGTTATTATTATTTGTATAATTATTATTGTTGTTGTTGTTATTATTATTGTTATTGTTATTATTATTTGTATTATTATTATGGTTGTTGTTATTATTATTGTTGTTATTATTATTAATCATGGCATCAAACCCGAACCCTTCCTCCTCCTCTAGGAAAGCCAAGTCAAAACGTACTAGTACTAGTAGGGAATTACCAAATTCAAACACTTCAATGCCCTCCCTTGACATGCCCATTCCGAACACTTCCACCCCCTTCTTTCATCCCCAAACCATGGGAGGATTCAAACAATTTGACAATATGTCTCCTTGGACTATGTCTAGTATGTGCAACAAAACCAATTCTCACCTCATTTATACGGCTCACAACATGAATTTTCTTATCCTACTAGTCAAGGTAGCCAAACACATGCCGCCGGATCGAGTGAACAATCCACCCAAATGCCAAACACCCAAATTCCAAACACATTAGAATGGTGTACCGAAGAGGAACAAGCCGCTACCAACCGAAAGAGTTATGTTTGGGCACATTTTCAATTAAGTAGAGATGGAACCAAAGTCAAGTGTAAGACATGTAAGAAAATTTACTCGGCCGAAACCAAGGGAGGGACGGGACACCTTATTAGACATGTAAAAAAATGTGGTGAACCATCTAGTGATCCAACCCAACCCAAAATTTCTCAATTCCATCCACATAGCTTTACTTAAAATTATGAGAGAGATAGGGATGAGCTTGGGAGAATATTAGTACATGCTGAACAACCCTTTCTTTTTGCGGGAAAATGATCCCTTTAACAATTACATTAAGTGAGCACTACAACCCCAACGGCCAACACAAAAAAATCTCTAGAAAAACTGTCCGTTCGGCTTCCATGAATTGAGTAATCTTACTTGTAGAGTTTCTTTGACCGCTGATGCATGGGATAGTGGTTATGGATATCACTATTTGTGTGTGACTTGTCATTGGTTGGATACTGATTGGTTATTACAAAAACACATTATCCATTTTAAAATGCTTGAATACCCCCACACCGGTCTTAATATTTCTCATCATTTAATGCAAGCTATTGATGCATATAATCTTAGGTCCAAAATCATGTTTATCACTTTTGATAATGCAACTTCTATGACATTTAGTGCAAATTTAGCTAAAGCACAATTGATCGATGTAACATTAGATGGAGATGTACTTCATATTAGATGCATTTGTCATGTTCTAAACTTGTGTGTGAAAGATGGAACCCAAGCAATTGATCCATTTTATCACAAAATTAGAAATGCTATTATGTCTATTAACAGCTCTAACATGAGATTTCAGGAATGGAAAGCTTTTTGCACGAAACAAAGGATAAAGGGTATTAAAATCAAAATGGATTTTGCAACTAGGTGGAACTCCACCTATGAAATGTTGAGTATGGCAATCGAGTACAAGGGTCCATTAACAATTTTTTATAATAAAATATTTCCACAATTTGCTTTATTAGACGATGATTGGTCTAACTGTGAAAAAAATATGCAGTTTTTACAATTATTGTATAGTATGACACATTGTTTTTCTTCTATTTATAATCCTTGTGCTCATTCTTTTCTTATCAATGCATGTTTACTTGCACAACTTTTTTATGAACACCGATCACAACACGATTATGATGAATATCTTCCATCAATGGAGGAAAAATGACATAAATATTACACTACTCTTCTTATGATTTATATTTTTGCTTCTATTTTAGATCCAAGGCAAAAGTATGATGGCACACTTTTATTAATTGATATTTAATTTCAATGCATGAAATTTGAAGATGATGTTGAATCTTATAAAACTAATGTGACCAATCAAATTTTTGCCTTATATAGAGTTTATGAATCTAAATATGGAACCGTGTTTCGATTTGCTCCTTCTCAATCATCCAAAAATGTAAGTAAAAGGGCCAAAGATTTACACTAGTACAAAACTAACCTTAAGTAACACCCAAAAAGTGTTACATAAAGTGGTAAAAATGTTATTATAGACAATAGGTAACACTTAAGTGGGTGATACATCCGCCCGTGTTACCTAAGGTCTTATGTAACACTTTGGATAACGTATGATAACACTTTTAAAAGTGTTACTATATAACCTCTTATGTAACACTTTTTTATATCTTTAGTATCATTTTTAAAGTGTTACTTTTTATTTCTTATGTAACACTTACTTATCTTTAGTAACATTTTTCAATCATATAGTATCACTTTATCCGAAATTATATATCACTTTTTCGAACGAATGTAACACTTTGTTGATTATTAGGTAACATTTTTCAATCATGTTTTGACATGTAGTAGCACTTTATTCGACATTATGTATCACTTTTTGCAAGCTAATATAACACTTTATTCATTAATAGGTAACATTTATCATCATCATCATCATCGTTGTTGTTATTATTATTATTATTATTATTATTATTATTATTATTATTATTATTAACATTAACATTTACTATTTTTTTTAAATATAAAAAAGAAAATTATATGTACAACAACTATATGAATAAGAAATCAACACATATGATAGAAAACAATTTGGATTGAAATACTTTCATAATTCTTACAAAAAAAAATCCATAAAAATCAATTTTAATGTTTGGCCAAACAATATAATAATCCAAACACAATGAAAATTAAGTTCGATCTCTAGCTTGGAAAAAGTAAGGAAAAACAAAAAACTTCCAAATTTCAAAAAAGTCAGCGATAGTAAAGAGCATTAATAACAGCATATAGCAGCAGTAACATAGCTAGCTAGTAGAATGGCAGCAGCTAGGCAACTAGCAGAATGGCAGAAGCAGTAACAGAAGCTGCTAGCAGTAGTCTATAGCAGCAACCAGCAGTAGCAGACATGAGCGGCAGCTTCCAGTAGTAGCAGAAAACAGTTGGCAGCAACCAGCAGTAGCAGAGAGCAGTGGCAGCAAACCGAAGTAGCAAGAGTCAGCAACAGATCAGACAACAGTAGCAGCAAAAAAACAGCAGTAACAACAAAAAACAGCAGCAAAACAGCGGTAAAAGTAAGTTCTTGTAGCATCATCAATTGCTATCCTAATTCTTCATCTTGATCCAATTGATCCTATGTGTGAAAGCATCGTATATCAAACAATTAGAAAAAAAAATGGAATAACGCAATAATAAGAGTTACTGCTTTTTAAAAGATTATATATTAACCATTACCTTATTTCGCTGTTGTTCATTAGAGTGTACAATGGGAATATTATCTGTAAGTTCTGGATTGGATGACACATTTTCAAGTGATCGAGTCAAAGTATCCAACACTTCAGGATCAATTTGCTTGAGCGTCTTCATTAATTCTGCTACAGTTTCTCTCACAATTTGGTCTTTATAGGGCTTTAAGAACTCATCGGACATTATTGGTTTGTTGCTCTTTCCCCTTAGTGAACATATCCTCGGTTGCTTTTTTCTATGGCCTAAGTTATTTGGTTTATTCATTACTTCATAGTATGCAACATCTCCATCAATTTCACTTTGAATTTGTACCTCCTCCATCTTGTCCTATAATGGAAATATAACAAATAAACAACTAATTTGAGACAAATAAACATATTCTGAAAAATATGGAGATAATAGGACTTACAATGTTACTTTGGGTGGGCTCATAAGATGTTTTGTATTTTTTGTCTGCTTTCCTTTTACGACTTTCTTTGTACATGAGTGCTAAGGATAATGGCTTGTTTTCAACATCTAGTTGTTGCTAGAATAAAAAACACATCCAAATAAGAATTGAAATAAGATTGTTTACATGATCATAGTGAGAACTAAACCTGGGCATCGTGCCGGGCCGTGCCGCCGCGGGCTGGTTCGTGCCGTGCCGGTCGTGCCGGCGTGCCCAGGAATTCGTGCGGTGCCGTGCCGGCCATTCTCACAGGCCAGCCCACGGCACGGCACGGCCCTCGTGCCTGGCGGGCTCGTGCCGTGCCGGCCACGTGCCGGCCTGCGGGCTGGTGGCAGACTGGCAGTTTTCAATTATTTATTTATTTATTTATTTATTTTTATTTTTTTTAAGTGACAACATTATAAGTTTATAATGTATATAAGTTATAAAATTATAATTATAAGTTTTATAAGGTTATAACTTATAACTTTTATAAGTTTATAACTTATAAGTTATTAAGTTATGAATTTTATAATTATAAGTTGAATATTTATGTTTTATAATTTTGTATATTCGATATTTATATTTATATATTTACTTTATACTATTACTTTAAAATTTAATGTTTATGATTTATTAAATATAATTTTGTATTAGTAATTGGTATAATTTTATTTTTTTTAATATGAATTTACAAATTGTAACAAAACGGGGAAAAAAGGCAAATTAAACTTTGGATGTGAATAATGCGTACTTTATATTATTATTACTTGAGTTGAGAAAATTGTACAATGATAACAATGATAAAAATCATACAATGATGGTATTAAACAAAAATTGGAAAATGATAAAATTGATATTTGATAATGATTAAAATCGTACAATATACAATAATTGTCTATTCTTCTTCTCCTTCTTCTTGCTCGTCTTCGTCTTCGTCTTCGCCTCCGCCTTCAAGGTCATCGGCTAGTTGCATAGATTGGGAACTAGCCGAACCCGAACCGGAAGCGGAGGTTCCTTCTTCGTTGTCGTTGTGGTCGTACAAACGGTCTTGTGAGAGATTTTCCGCATCCAACCAATCTTTGAAACACACGCACATTTCTAGTGTTTTGGGTTTTAGACTTGTTCTTCTATCGTCTAAAACCCTTCCGGATGCGCTGAAAGCTCGTTCGGAGGCGACGGAGGAAACTTGGATAGCAAGAATGTCTCGTGCCATTGCCGCCAAAGTTGGATGCTTCGAGCTTTGTTGTTTCCACCATGCAAGGAGGTCGAGGCTGTTTATCTCATCGTCGTCCATGCCTTTGGTGAAGTTGTAACTCAGGTACATCTGCAACTCCGAGACGTCGCTTTGCGTTCTCCTGATTGATGAATCACCTGAAAACCTTGAAATCAAGTTAGTAGCTTGTGAAAATAAATGTTTGGCCTTCTTACTTACGTTTTTGGATGGTTGGGAAGGCCCTGAGCGAGGAACGGTGCCATATTTGGCTTCATAGACTCTATATAAAGCAAAAAACTGATCCTTCACATTAGTCTTATAGTTTTCTACATCATCGTCAAGAAACATGCATTGAAAGTAAATGTCAACTAACATAAATGTGTTTTCATACTTTTGCCTAGGATCTAATATGGAAGCAAAAATATAAATCAAAGGAATTTCACTATAATATTTACGCCACTTTGTTTCCATTGCTGGAAGATATTGATCATAATCACTTTGATGGCGATGATCAGGGAAAAGTTGGGCGAGTAAGCATGCATTAGAAAGAAAGTTTTGAGCACAAGGATTGTAAACAGTAGAAAAACAATATGTCATGTTATATAACAACTGTAAAAATTGCATATATCTTTCACAGTTATTCCAATCATCATCATACAAAGCATTTTGTGGAAATTTTTGGTTGTAAAATAATGTTAACGGCCCTTGTACTCAATTGCCTTTGTTAACATGTCATAGGTGGAATTCCACCTAGTTGGGCAATCGGTTCTAATTTTTATTACCCTTATCTTTTGTTGTTTTAAAAAACTCTTCCATTCTTGGTATCTCATGTTAGAGCTATTAATAGACATAATAGCATCTCTGATTTTGCTGTAGTATGGGCCAATTGCCCGAACTCCATCCTGTACACATAAGTTAAGTACATGGCAAACACATCTAGTATGAAGAGCTTCACCGTCTAATAGTACATCGGTTAAGTTTTGTTTGATAAGATTAGCTGTGTATGTCATAGAGGTTGCATTATCAAAATTCATAGACATCATTTTATCTCGAAGGTTGTATTCGTCTATTGCTTGCATTAAATGGTGAGCAATGTTAATGCCGGTGTGTGGGTATTCCATCATTTTGAAATGTATTATTCTTTTTTGTAACAACCATTGATCATTTACCCAATGGCAAGTCACACATAAATAGTGATATTTATAACCACTATCCCAAGAATCGGCTGTTAAAGATACTCTACAGTTAAGGTTACTCAATTCGGCTTGTAACCGGACTTTGTACTCTAAGAAATTTTTCATTGCGGCGGAACGAACGGTTTTCCTAGAGATTCTTTTATGATGGGTTGTAGTGCTTTGTTAATGTAGGTGTTGAATGCGTCACTTTCCGAGAAAAGAAAAGGTTGTTCTGCGTGTACTATCATTTTTCCTAGTTCATCCCTATCCCTCTCATAGTTGTATGTAAAGCCGTATGGATGGAATTGGGAAATTTTGGGATGGGTTGGATCACTAGCTGGTTTTGCACAACCTTTCATGTGTCTAGTTAAGTGTCCCGTCCCGTTTTTGGTAAATGCCGTGAATACACCATTACATGTTTTACATTTTGCATATTGTTGACCCTCTTTATCTAGGACAAAATAACGCCATACCTCACTCCTTCGGTTTTTCAAAAGTACCATCTCACTTTCGGTTAACCATTCATGATGTGTGTCTGCGTTAGTAGTGGCAGTAGAAGGGGTAGATCCGGAAGGAATTCGGGTACTTTCTTGGCTACCTTGGCTAGAACAATAGTTTTGTTGATCACCGATATAATTAGGTGGGAATTCACCGAATTGTGGGAATTGTTGTGGATTTTGATATTGGTTTGATGGTGGAAATTGGTTTGGTGGTGGTGGTGGAAATTGGTTTGGTGGTGGTGGAGATTGGTTTAGTGGTGGTGCTGGAAATCCCGACATATTATATGGCTCATAGCCCGGGCGGGAAGTAAATGGGGTCATTGGTTTGACTCAAAATTTGGGGGCTCGTTGTATTTGGTGGTTCCCTAGAACTACTACTACGGGTAATTCGGCCTTTCGCCCTAGACCTAGATGATAGGTTGTTCGATGCCATAATTAACAATTAATTTTTTAATAAAAAGTGGTTAACTATAATAATAATAATTAATAACAACAATGTTAACAATAAAAATATCAATAATAATAATTAATAACAACAACTATAACAATAACAATAACAACAAAAATAAATAATAACAACAATTGTAACAATAATAATAATTAATAACAACAATTATAACAACAATAATAACAATTAACAACAATAATAATTAAACAAGATTATTCTAATAATAACAATAAAACAATAATAAATTTAAGATTAGTTTAGATCTTACAACCGTGCTTCAACGCTCCACTAATTACGATTACGAACTTTTTAATTTTTTCCGATATTAGGAAAATAATTAGAGAATTTAAGAGAATAATTAGAGAATTTAAGAAAATAAGGATTATTAGAGATTTAGAGATTATAAGAGATAAGAAGAAGAGATTGTGATTTTGTGATTTGGGAATGAAATGGAGGTGGGTATTTATAGAATTTTTGGGGAGCAAATTGGCAAAAATATAGCCGTTAAGTAGCTGTTTTTTTGGCTAATTATGCAACTAGCCGTTGCTTTTAAACGGTTATATGACCGTTGGCCCGCGGGCCGTGCCTGCGTGCCAGCACGGCGGGCCCTGGCCGTGCTCGTGCCGGGCCGTGCCAGCACGGCGGGCCCTGGCCGTGCTCGTGCCGGGCCGTGCCTGGGAATTCATAACCCTGTCCGTGGCACGACCCGTGGCACGAAGTTCAACTTCTGTGCCGTGCCGTGCTGGAGTTCGGGCCGTGCCGGGCTGCGTCGAACGGCGGGCCGTGCCGGGCGGCACGCGGGCCAACCCGGCCCGTGCCCAGGTTTAGTGAGAACGATAAAGAAGGAAGAACGGTATAAAAACATACAAATTTATGTTGTTTCCTCGCAAAAGTCATAGGACCCATAGTGTGCCTATCGTTTTGATCTATACTTATTTCCCTTTTCATTTTGCTGTCTTCCTGCATGCATGCATAACACACTGTTCATAGCTTAACACATTTCATTTTGAGAGGGAAATAAGCAATTGTAATATAATGGAAACAAACAACATAACTTTACTTGGACTAGTTCCAAATTCCAAAATTCTAGCAACTCGATCTTTGAAATGCGCTTTCGGAATTATATTAGGTGGACTTGCCAACCTATCACCATCATTGTCATACGGAGTAAAGTGCGTTGCCTTTACACTACATTTATATCTACGCCAAAGCCTTCCCACGGATGACAAAACATAGTCTTTACCTTTTTCCGCGATAATGTATTTCTTTTGTATTAAGTTGTAATACTCCGAATTTTCGGAAAATATTTTAATAATTTCTTGAATTATTTAATTTGGAGCCAAAATGAATTTTAAATTTTGGCGCCAAATATAAGTATTTAACCATTTGAATAATTGATTATTTTCGGATCTCTAAATTAATTATCTTTTATTAGACGTTCCATATTTTATTATGTACATATTATTTTCCGGATTTTTAATACTTAACAATTTCATTAGTTTTACAACTAATTTTCGTAAACTAATTTTGGCCTTGATATTATCTAAGGTATTTCTACTTAATTTTGCAATGATAAATTTGATCCAATTACCAAAATTAATTATTTTCTTAAACTAAAAAAAAAAATGATTTCCGTAGGATTTAAAAAAAAAAAAGAAAAGATTTTTGACGTGAAGACTTTGGTTTTATTAAGATGATTTTTTTTTTTTTTTTTGATAAACATACTTTCTTAACCTCTAGCCTTCTTCTTCATTATCTTATTTTGCTTCCTATCATCATTC